ATGAAGGCGAAATGGTATGTGAGACAGTGGAATTAGCTAAATATGGACCTGTCTGGAAGATTCACACTGAATGTTTAATGACAGATGAAAATTACGGAGGCCAGAAAAGTCATTACAAGAGTTTAAATAAGTCTGCCAATGTCTAGACACGGAAATATGATCATTTTCATCACTCCTTCGTTTTTATTTTCGATGTATTGTTCTATCGGTAAGTGTGCCTTTGTATTTCAAAGGTTGCTTCATATTTAATGATTAAAATCATAGTGTTGGTTAAGCTACGTAGTTCATATCAATCACTGTAGTTCAAAATAATTTTCACTCCTTACTATCTACTATCCATTTATAATAATAACAGTTCGAGTGGCCACAACAACTTATTACTTGACTTCGACAAGAGGAAAATTGATCACCATCCTTTGTGGATGCTAAAAAGTCTGTAATATTGAGTTCATGATGAACGTTGGTCGTGCTTTCATCTGTTTTCTTAAAAAAACTGTCATTCTGTTCAACTTCAACAAAAAATGATCCATGTCAAATGGATGAAATCGGACTAAACTAAATGAGAGACTATTTAATAAACTGTGATTCAGAGCTATCTTAGCTTGTATAGGGAGCGAGATCGGAATAGTCTTCACTGAATGTACTCAAAATCATCAGATTCCTCAATCCTAATTTTATTTACGTTGCCAAACCTTGTCCTCGTTCAAATTGGTTACTAATCGGTTAGACTTAACGTTTTTGAGAATAGTTTCAAAGTGTTATTATGAGATAGATAAAACATATCGTATCCATCAAACCGACTTTTCAATGAATTGACAACCACAAAAAAACTGCACACATGATCATGCAGAGGTGAACTAAGGATAACATCTAGTTGATGATCAGTACGTTGAGAAGCGTGTAGTCTAAGGTGGTAAGTTGTTACGAAGGAATAAGCTAAGCTGCATACTCAGTGGCAATCTGATGAGGATGTGACTGGGCGTCTACATCTAGGTTGTGTTTTCATTAAAACTAATGAATTTAGCATCGTTCCTGTAACTTTACTAATACTGACTATCGAAAATCTCTTCTAACTTGAACAAAAATACTATAACTTTTGCTAATAGACGTAAAAATGAATGCGCACTAGAGAATAATTTCAATCGAATTGACGTTGGCAAAACCTGAAGTACGGTACCAATGATTTTCTTCACTAAAACATTTTTATCTATTGAGTTTTTTCTGTGTACTCATTCATAACATTAAACTACTGAACATCATGATATGAATCAATTGACCTCAAATCATTGTTTTAATAAACTTTGCGAGAAGATAATTGATACAAAGGGGTATTAATTATTCGTGATTTGAAGGATATTGTACC